TAGTTAGTTATGGTTTATAAAAACCAACAATAGTGGGATTGGATTAGTAGTGTTTACAATAATGTTTCATAGTGGAAACTAAAACCACCTCATATTTCCATCAATAATTGTTACTATCACTATACGTATAACTCAGAGTCAGATAGCTTATGCTAACACGTACACAGATAGAAAAAGGTTAAGAAAAAGGTGAACCTCACCATTATTATCCGCTGTTTCAGTGGGAATTTAATTACTGTCATATCTTTTTGATTTATTTTGGGTGTTTCTGTAATGATGTTGACTTGTTTAATGACGCATCTAGATAAATTTGGACAAGTTCATCAATTTGCTGGGCCAGCCTTAGATGTGTACTATTGCTCCTAACTTTTGCAATAGATTATGTTTTCTTAACCACTTCAGTACTAACCAACCTTTTTTGCTATACCCTCCGATAATCAAACTTGGCATGCTGGAATATCCCCCAGAGCTACTTCGATGATTTTTCCAGTTTTTTACTATAAAAACCTCCATCTACAGTAGATGTTGCCATATTTTCCCACACAAAAACCCCTGTTTTTCGCCTACTTTCATAGGCATTTCCCAGCCAGCCGTACGTTTGACACAGTCGGTTGTTCGGGTCTGAGTTGACTCGCGCAGGTGTGTGCAGGTGCCAAAGCAGCCTTGCGAAGCGACTTGGCACTGCCCGAGTATAGGGGGTCCAAGGTTTTTTTTAATTTTTCTTTACATAGCCATGGAAAGATCCACAATTTTTAAGTTCGGTAAGCCATCTATTTCTATGGGCCAGCTATACCATGGCTAACTGTTAAATAACCAGATGGTAACCGACTTCATCCACCAGTTTCTTACTGGTGCTAAACGTAAGGAATGGATGGGTTCCTTGGGGTTTCTGGGATGATTATTGATAGTTAGCCAGTGGATCATTCCCGAAAATTCCCTGCGTAAAACGCACCAGTAAGTTTCACCAAATTCGAGCATTCACTTTGACTATATATGACTATATTACAGAGTTAAGTTTAATATTCTGAGTTGAGTTTGTTATATATTTGTATATTTCTATGTTGACTATACATACATATATATATAGTACTGTTTTGCTGTTGATGAACTTGATTTTTGGATGTTTATGTACACCCCAGATACGTAATCATCCATAATAGACATGCCTGGGCGTCTCTCTGTTCTTGTTTTTCAGTTCTGGCGGCCTGCGAATGCTGTGAAACACATCACATTTTTCCAGGTATGTTTTCTTGATGTATGAAGATACACAATGGTACAATGACATCTGCTAGAGGCATAGGTTGATGCTTGCATGTTTGACGTGTATTTCGGCTTATAGCCTTTGTAGGGTAGTAGATGCCACCCCAGGTCTGCGCAAAGTGCCGAGGCTTCCCTGCTCAGGAGGGTGACAGCTGGTGCACCGGCTGCATAGGGTGGGAAGCCCTTGGCCGAGAGCTCACCGCTCACTGGGACAGCGAAGGAGGCCGGCACGTTGCCAACGACCTGGTGGTGTCAACGTGCAGACAGGTTAAGGCACTCAGGTCGGTCACCGCTGGGCTCACCCGGAGCGGGGGATCTGTACCTGAACCCCGCGCTGGCAGCAGCCGGGCGCGAGGGGACACACGTGTGCCTGAACCTCCTGCACCGCCGAGGAGGCGCGAGGCTGAGGGGTCCCCGCCAAAGAGGGCCTGCAAAGAGGAGGAGCTCAGTGAGGAGGACGAAGGTGAGGAAAGTGAGGAGGAGGAGCGCCGCGAAGAACGCAGCCCACCAAGGGACGCTGATCACAAGCCAATCCGAGAGCACAGGCCTCGGTCGCCTCCTGGACCCCCGCCAGGTGATCGGGAATATCCAGGTGCCAAGTCAATTGGACTACATCGTCAGCGAGAGCATCGGTCAGGGTCAAAAAGGAAAAGGGAACACAGTCATCGTCGAGAAGATCGTGACTCTCACCGCTCAGGAAAGAGACGCGGTGGACGGAAGCACAAGAGGCTGCATAGGCTGGCCACAAACCCAGAGCTTCTGGTGCACAGGGCGCCGGGCCGCTCCTTTTGGGAGCTTAGCACAGAGCAGCCAGGGGGAGGTCTGGATCTGTCCCGTTTAGGACGTTGAGATGGATCATCCCTTTGCTTCTGGAAAAGAGTTTTCTCTGGACGAAAAGGAAGCATGGAGCACTATCGCTCCTTTGGCTGGAATGGTTGTGGAAGTGAACATGTTGAAAACCAATCGCATTGTGAATGCCGTGGTGGAATGTTGGGCCGCGTTTTTCATCAAAGGAGTTTCAAACGAGCTGGACGGGTCCTACGTTCTGGAGGTCAATTACCTTGGGTGCGAGGAGGAAGAAGAGCATGCTGCGCTGACTCTGTTGTTCAAGTCGGGCGCACGGCACATCCACCTCTGCCTAGGGGTCCCTTGCGTCGTTGTGGGTTCCTTGGAGGCCATCCATGCAACGGCCATCAGGTTGTGGGCCGCCGAGGACTTCGACGCCGAGTATGTGGAGAAGCATGCATGGAAGACGTTGAAGTTGTGGCAAAAGGAGCTGGCCGCAGCCGCCGCTGCTCCAAAACGAATGGCCCGAGCACCAGCGAAACCCAAGACAGAGCCGAAAAAGACGCGGAAGAAGGATGCAGAAGAGGCAGAAAAGCCGAAGCCCAAGAGAGGAAAAGGTTTGGACGAAGCCACAAAAGCAAAGTTGCAGGAGAAGTTGAAGAAGGTCCGAGAGTTGAGAAGTGCTGGTGGAGGAGCAGAGAAGAGCCCTGTGGCGGAAATACCCGACTCGGAAGAGGATGGCGACGATGGGTCGGGCAGAGAATCTACAGGCTACTCACCTACACCTCCGCTGAACACTGGTTCGATGCTGGAGGGGAGTGGCCGGAAGAAGAGACGCTCGAAAGAGAAGGTCCCATCCGCAAAGGACGGGACTCTAGCCCTGTACAGGGGTACAAGAGGAACTTCTACTCAAGGCTTGACCGGCCAGTTGGTGGAGAAGGCTCTCGCTGTCCAAGACGTGCGGGAGAAGAGCAAGAAGAAAGCAAAGAAGAAGAGCAGTCAGGCCCAAGCGGTAAGCCTGCTACAACAGATCCTTACGGGGAAGTTGGAGAAGAAGGAGCACCGGAGTGGCGACAAGAAAAAGAAGAAAAAGAAGAGAAAAAGGAAGTTGAAGAATGGAGTGATCGTCAGCTCGAGCAACAGTTCAGAGAGCACTTCAAGAGAGACGGACGAGGAGAGCAAAGGAGAAGCAAGCTCCGAAGAGGACTTGGAGGCGCCGCTACGGAAGAGGAGCCGAGATTCCCCAGGAAGCGTGCTGTCACTCCTGACGGAGCACGTCAGGGAACAAATGCAGCAAGATGCATTCACAGAAGTTGGAGGACGAGCTCATCAAGTTACAGGCGGGGTGAAGCTGACCACGTTCTTCAACATGCACGTGCGTCCAAACTACGGAGGGCATCTGAAGGAGCTGCGCGAGATGTACATGCTCTCGGTGACAATAGATCTTCTGAGGAAAGGAGATCTGGCCAAGGTAGGCGACAGCCTATCTGCTGGCTTCATGGCTCTCCACCAATCATTGGTGGATCAGTCATGGAGCACGGCGCGGCACATGGAGCTCTACCCCATGGAGGAGGCGACGGCGGCCTCCTCTGCCCTCATTCTGGCGTCGAGGAAGCATGGCCGCCTTGTGGACAAGGTGCAGGGAAAAGGAAATTGGGGCTCCTGGCAAGGCAAAGGAAAGCAAGGCAGGCAAAGCGATTGGGGAACATGGTCAGATTCACAACCAAAAGGTCGAAAGGGCAAAGGGCCCCAGAACAAAGGAAAAGGCAAAGGGAAAAATCCCTGGCAGAAGGGCGGCGAGAAGAATGCCAACAAGTGGGAGAAGACCAAGGATGCGGCCGATTTGGGGAAGTGACCGGACCGCGGGGGGGAGCTCTGGATGCAGCCGTGAGCTCTCTCAGTGGTTCGGACACGAGCCCTCCTGCCACTTGGGCTGACATTTTACTGTCGTGCCCTACTTTAGGCCATGCTGGTTGCAGCCTGGCGTGGCTTTTGGTACAGGCCCCCTTGATCGCCCAGGTGCATGGGAATTCTGGTTTTTTGGATGGGATCTACGCCAGTGGCGCGTGGCCCCAGGCTAGACGTTTGCGTCGAGCCTTTCCCGTCCGTGAGGGAGAGTTTGGTGCCCTACGTTGCATTTTGGAGAAAGCCTCTCTGGCAGACGTCCGTGAGGAAGGCTTCGTGGCGAAGTGGGCCGAGACGGCCTGGACGATGGCAGCTTGTTTCTCCTGCAACTCTTTGGCGGGGCATCAGCAACCGTTTTTGGCAGGTAGCTGGACAAAGCTGGAGAGGAAGCTGGTGAATGCCGTAGGCCTGTCAGTCAAACGATTGATGGGCCACGGCCGAGCAGAACATCGAGACTTTGCCGCGTTGGAAAAAGAGCTCAGAAGTAAGAGGGTCAACTATGCTGGTGAAGAAGTAGGAACATGCCATGAAATCACAATGGCGCAGGTGTTGCCTTCTCTGCCTCCGCCAGAGCATGGGGGCAGCATTGACATTTTGAAGTTTGTTTCTGAAAGCACGGGTTATTTCTTGCGGAATCCTCAAAAGATGGTGGTGGAAGATTGTGGTCAAGAGCTCCCCAAACTTCAAGGTAAACTCCATGTTGAAAAAGGGATGGAACTGCGATTAGCAAAGGAGTTGGTCAGTCGAGGTGTTTGCTGTTGGGTCCCTTTTGAAAAAGTGCTTTGTTTTCGGGGCCAGAGGTCCTAAACGGACTTTTCGGTGTGGAAAAACCATCCCGGATTGCAACTGGAAAATGTGTTTTGCGTTTGATTATGAACCTCATCCCCTCCAATGCTGTGCTCAGAACTTTTCATGGCGCTGTTTCAAACTTGCCCCATATCACGGCTTGGATGAGCACCATTATTTTGGAAGGGGAAGAGTTACGGGTTTGGCAAAGTGATATGCAAAATGCCTTCTATCTCTTTAAGATCCCGTCGGCATGGTCCCCCATGTTAAGTTTCAACCTGCTTGCGTCTGGACAGGAGATCGGCCTTGGAGGAGAAGAACAATACGCATTGGGATGCTCAGTGTTACCGATGGGATGGTCGTCTTCGGTTGCCATCATGCAAGAAGCGAGTGAGAGGATTCTGGCATTGGGCAGACTCCCGGCTGATGAGCAGCTGTTGAGAGGACGTGCTGTTCCGCTTTGGATGGTAGGGCTGCTGGACGAGGCACGGAAGAAAGGGAAGGCCTGGTGGCATGTCTATTTAGACAACTTTGCAGCTGGAGAAGTAGGAAAACAGGGAGAGCAGTTTTCTTCAGGGCATGAGCTCCATCAGCTGGCCGAGAAAGCATGGGCCGTGTCTGGTGTGGTGTCGTCGGAGAAGAAGAGAAAAGCGGCGGAGCTGGAGGCACAGGAGCTAGGTGGTTTCATGGATGGAGGAGCCAAAACGCTAGGTGGGTCACCCGAGAGGTTGCTCAAGTTAGTTCAGGCGACCATCATCCTTCTTAAGCAACCCCATCTCTCAAAGAAGCTAACTCAGGTGGTAGTGTCCCTGTTGGAGCATACTTGGAAGTTCACTGCATCGAAAAGGTTTGAAGCATCCCTCATTACCAAAGTCAAGAAGGAGTTGTTCGCTTGCTGCTGCAGTGTGCCCTTTCTACATGCTTACTTGGGCGCTCAGGTGTCGCCGGTGATCACCGCAAGCGATGCCTCGAACAGCGGCGGAGCCGTGGGCCTTTCAAAGGAGCTGACATCAGAAGGAAGAGACTTTGTGGGTGCTGCCTCATTAGGCGATGGCACTCAGCAGGCAAACATACTGGTGGTGTCGCTCTTCAATGGCATAGGAGGTGCAATAAGGTGCTATGACGTGTTGGGTGTGCTCCCACGGCATGTTGTTGCTTGTGACATACATGGGCCGGCCAATCGAGTCACCGCAAAGCGATGGCCCTCCACGGAAATCATCGAAGATGTGAGGTCAATAGATCAGAACACAGTCGATGGATGGTTCCGCAAGGTGGTACCACTAGAAGAACTACACTTATGGGCTGGTTTTCCATGCACGGACCTTTCATCGGCCAAGGCAGGGCGCGAAGGATTGGCTGGCAAGGCATCAGGTTTGTTTTGGGAAGTTGTGAGACTTATAAAACTGATAAAGAAGCGGGCACCTGCTCACGTGGTGGTCAAGTACGTCGCAGAGAACGTGGCTAGCATGGCGAAACAGGAATGCGAAGTCATCACCAAGGAGCTAGGAGTTTTTCCTTATTGGTTGAATAGTGCTGACGCTGTTCCAATGAACCGGCCTCGGCTATGTTGGACTTCGGAAGAGGTAGAAGGCCAACTCAGGGGACTTCGCTTTCGTGATCAGGAGCACTGGACAGAGGTCACAGCAGAGGCGCCCTATCCAGAACTGGGCGCCTGGTTGACTCCTGGGTGTCAATGGCCGGGTGAAGAAGAAGGAGCAGTCTTCCCGACGGCCATGAAGGCCATACCGAGGAAACGACCACCAGTGCAGCCCGCTGGCATCAGCCGTTGCGGGGATGACACCATCGGACGGTGGACGGCAGATGGGTACAGGTTCCCGCCCTATCACTATTTGCCACAGTATGTGATCTGGCGGGGCGAAAGATGGAGGCTGACAAACAGCAGTGAAAGGGAGCTCTTGCTTGGGTATGGTTTTGGGCACACGAAGCGTTGCATGAGCGCCTCGGACATCAAGAGATCGAAACAGGCCTATGAAGACGAACGGCTTTCGCTTTTGGGTGACTCCTTCAGCATCTACAGCTTTGTCATCATCGCGGCTGCGCTTTGTGCCCGCTACCTGCCCAGCTTGCACTACGTGGACCTCACCAGGAGAATGGGGATGGCGCCTGGGTTTCGGGCTCCAATTAGGTGGAAGATCCCCCTTTGTCGGTGTTTGGGGTATGGTTTCCCTGGTGATAGTAAGGGAACGGTTGCGGCACTGAATAAGGTGTTGCTTTCAAAGGTCAATCATACCGGTTCGGACATACGTATCACTACAGGCGAGGTGCTTAATCCGAGGAGTGTTCCTAGGCAATCGGTTGAGGCAGCATGGTGGAAGTGGGAGCCTTTGTTTAAGGTGCAATGGACCCGAAAAGAACATATCAATGTGCTAGAGCTTCGCTCCATCCTTTTGGCTATCCAGTTTCAGATCTCCCACCTTGACGTCTCACATCTCCGTATCTTTCATGTCACCGACAGCTTTGTCGCGATGTCCATAGTGGCCAAGGGACGAACAGGAAGCCTCCAGCTGGCACGAGTCCTCAAAGTGCTGAACGCACATCTCTTGGGTTTTGGGCTGGCTCTGGCTTTAGGGCACGTTGAGTCAACCGAGAATCCGACAGATGGGGAAAGCCGTTCGCTGGCGCTTCTGCACTAAGACTTCCCGTGCTGACAGAGTCCGCCAGAGGACGAAAGTCGTGCTTCGGGACGCAGGGCTTAGTGAGAAGACCCAGGAGCGATACTACCTTGGGGTGCGAAAGGTCTTACCCATTCTCCTACGTAGCAGGGACTTGGTTGAGTTGGATGAGAAGGTAGCAGATTGGGTCCAACAACGTTGGGAAAAGGCGACAGCCAACACCAGATCAGTGATGCCTTGTGCGCACTACACCATTTTGAACCTTGGTTGCGGGGAAAGCTACCGCTGGCGTGGAAACTACTAGGTGTTTGGAGGAAGCTGGAATCTCCTAACCGTGCTCCTCCCCTAGTCGCCTCCATTATTCATGCCTGGGCGATGTACGCTTTGGACCATTGTAACCTGGAGTTTGCAGCGATGATTTTGCTAGGTTTCTTTGCGCTCCTGCGAACAGGGGAGTGCCTTCAGGTGCGACCGCGGGACCTGCTCATTGGTGATAGCTCTGGCATTGTGTCGTTGAGCGAAACCAAATCAGGTCTCAGACATGCTGCAAAGGAAATGGTCAGTTTTGACGATGGCATCACTTTGGAAATCTTGAAGGAGGTCATTGCGGTTCGAAAACAGGAAAATCTTTTCCATGTACCAATTTGGACACGCTCCGCCCAATGCTTCAGGAATGAGTTCGCCCATCATTGCAGCAGGTTTGATCTGTGGAAACACAGGTTTAGACCTTACAGCCTAAGGCGTGGAGGAGCGACAGCTTTGTTCCAAGCATCAGGCAGCATGGAGGAAGCATTGCTCAAAGGTAGGTGGCAATCAACCCGAAAGTTACATTGGTGGCATTTAGCCCCCAATTGGTGGCATTTGGCCCTCATGCAGGAGTGCAGCATGCTGCAAACAGTGGAGGGGCATAAATCACCCCATCCCTCATGTATATAGCAGGGCCACCACCACAGTGCGCACAGCTGGCCAAGAAAGCAAGCTATGCCAATGTTTGTCACACAAGCATGACAACTCCTGCTTAAGTACAAGAGTTTGAGCCATTCATTCTTGAGCCAAAACAGCCAAACTATCTTCAAGAAACCAGTGATCACGCCAGCAAATTTATGTTGACTATCTATATATTATGATGTAAATGAATGGATGTTTACATATGCATACATATCTTTATTTTTATACATACATAATATATATACACATATCGGTTTATCATATTATATATGTGTGTGTAATATGTACCAAATATAGGAATTTGGTGACACCAGGGGGTGTGTATCCAGCACCAATGATTTGTGTTTGTTTCTCCTTCCAGCTGAAAAAAATCACGCAACATCTGGCCTATTTCAAGGTCCATAAATTTAATCCCGTCACCCAACGAGCTGTGGCCCCACAGCACTTTCCCAAGATGCGCACCAGTACCTGCCAGGCACCAGGTTTGGTTTTGAAGGTCTGGCTTCTGAAATTTCCCAGCAAGCAGTTGGCATGATCCATGCCATCATGTTTTTTTTGTCTGGTTCGAATTCATACTTTACTTGGTGAATGGGAAAAATGAATTCATCTGAGGCTTACATCCCCAAAAACAGGTGAACATACCATGGGAGACAAGTAAAGATTGAACACCATTTTCGTTTGGATCGAATTTCATCCTGATGTTTTTGGTTTAAAACAAAAAAGATACGAAATGTTGATCCATCCTGAAAGACAAAAAAGCATTTGCAAGTCTAGACATGTTTCAGCAAGGGGGCTGTAACCCTTGCAAGAAAGAAACTAACAACCAATGAATTTTGATTCAGTGGTATTCCAAAGCCAAGCAGATACAGATTATGACAAAGTCACTACAGAAACATCTCTTAAACCACCCTTTCCCCACCTGCTGGCCGGTATGCGCACACACTGCTGATGGATGAGAAGAAGACATGAAGGACCAGGCCTGGGACCACCAGCCCCAACCATGGAGAATAAACCTGTTTGGATATCTCAATCACTGTTGCTGTGTCTGATCCAAGTTTTGGCCAAACACTTTTTACATCGCTGCCGCAGATTCTTGGAGCAAAAACCCCTATGCACCAAGTGACATCCAAGATGCTTTCAAAAGCCAAGTATTCTCCTGCTATCAAAGCTTGCATGCTGGGCCCATCTTGCTAAAAACATTCGGAACCAGGTGAGAAAACCAATGCAACACAGGCTAAGTGGCTCTAAGCGGTGAGCACACCCAAGGAGCTTTTATGCTTCAACTCATGCCTGAACACCAGCACGCGTAGCTAGGATATTGGCACGAGTGGACGATTCCATCCAAGCCCTGCAGGCAGCCCTAAAACGTTCTTGGGACTGGGGTAACTCACTGTTCCGAATCCACTCAGAGATGGAAGCTTCACGGGCTCTCGCAAGTGAGGATGCCGGAGTCGAAGGCGGAGATGCTTCGCCAGGAGCATCTGGGCCAACTGCTGGGGCTGCAACCGGTGTGGAAGCCGGTGCCACAGCCGGAGCCACAGCCGGCGCCACACGTGGAACACCTTTCGACACCCATTTCTCATGCCAAGCACGGCTAGACTTGCGATGTTTCTCACGCGAGATCTCCTCCTGTGTCATGGGGATAGGATCTGCTGGTGGAACACCATCAGCACCACTCTCATCCGTAGCAATCTCAGCTGGGGTCAGCGAAAAATCTTCAGCTGCATCCTCATCCACATGGATCTGATCTGTCCCATTGCCTACAGAGGTAGCAGGGATCTCATGGTCGCGGAGCAATGTGGTGTTGCCCACAGAGCCATCAGGCATCTCATGGTTGCCCACAGAGCTCACAGCAATCTCACAGGCCACCAGAGAGCCAGTAGAGACCTCAGCAGGGATCCCACCACCATGAGCAAGGGGTGCGGACTTGTCCACAGAGCCTTCAGAGCCAGCAAGGAAATCATGCGGCATGGAGCCCACAAAGGCAGCACTCCCTTCACCAGTGGTGCCACTGGGTTCAGGATGACCAAAGACAAAGATGCTATCAAGCAGGGAATCAATCTGCTCGGCCTGGGACTCATCCTCCTTTGCTGGAAAGTCAAGAATCGGCTGGCCAAAGTCATCATGACCAGAAGCCCCATGCTTCCAAGCAGGAGAGGCTTCCAGAGACTTTGGAAGATCAGAGCTTGCAACACCAGCGACAGAGTCCAAAGTCTTCAGAAGACGACGTGCTGTACTGCGATTTGGCCTCAATGGCTTGAAGGATGTATAACACAGAGATATGTCGAAAATGATGGAAGACAACATATTTAATCACACGTGGGCGTTTGCAAACGGAGTCATGTAGAATGCATCTATGTGAATAGTGCATATGTGTGGGTTTATGTGAGTCTATGCATGGGTCTGTATGGCAAGGTAAGTAACACGACATTATGTCAGGTAAACTAATTGGAGTTGTAGAAAGCAAAGAACTAGGCATTTCAAACCAGCAAAACAAATCTTGCAGCCAACCATTTCCAACCAGCTAAATCCAAGTCACGACTCGGGAGCTCGGAGGGAATCCTCTTCAGTAACAGGCTGCGCTGCTGATCGGAAAGAGCCAATCACAAGCGTTGATGGTGCTGGACGGGAAGAATCATGGATCATGAAGTGGGGCCGCTTTGCCTGATGTGCCCGGGGTTCCAGAGAAGTGAGCATCTTGGGGTTCAGCTCGTACTCCATCAAGTCATCATCGATCACGATTTGGGTCGAAAGACTCGTCATGAGAGACTGGTTCGGAAAGCAGCCTAGTCCTCCTAAACTCTGAACAAAATGAGCTCACCAATGACAAGTCAATATTACAACAATGAGTGGGTAGCGGGTAGCAGAAACAAAACATTTTCATTGCAGAATTTGAAGAATACACTGATCGGCAAATTGCTCAGGACTCCTGTGACATTCATCAGTGAAGAATGTTTTGCCGCTAGTTTGGCACAGTGCCCATTCTTGAGGTCGTGTGACCTGGTGCTTGAACCATGTTGAACCCCTGGTGTGCTCCATCGCACACAGCTAACAACAAGCTGACTCACGGCAATTTCATGCGGTCAGCTACCCGCTTGAGAAACACAGCAATTTCATGCTGTCAGAAAACCCTACGAAGTTCCACAGCAGCAAGCCTTCTAGATAAGGCGCTGGCAGGATCCCTTTGCAAGATCCAAGTCATGGGGCAAGAAATACAATGGCTTAGCCGGAGCTATGCACTTTTCAGTCATCCACAGGCGAAGCCTCCACACCTCAGTGGGAACAATATGGGAGGGGCAGCAAACAAACAGAAATCAGAAAACCAAGGAACAACTGCCATATTCAGAAATTTGAAAGGAACATTCCACAAAAATAACGAAAACAACTTTTCAGGAAGCATGGCACCACCTTCAATGGGCTGGCCTCAAGCGCTGGCCAAGAGAAAGCGGATGCGACATTGGCCGCTTTGATGCCGCGGGTGGGTACATTGTTCGGCTTCCAAACCAAGGTGTTGGCAGGATCCGGCCCAACCTGGAAGCAGTCTGCTTCACGCCCCTGCTGCACACTTGGCGGCCTGCAGCAAGTGTGGCCTCCCACTGTATACTCCACCAAGCCTTTGGTCTCAAAGTGCTGCAAGGCAGCCCGGAGGCTCATCACCGAGCTGTCCACACCATCTTCCTCTCACAAGGAAAAGCCCGTGCTGTAAAAAAAGGCGTGGTGGAAAAAAGATTGACCAACCTTGTGATCCAAACAAAAACTGGTAGCACCCCTCAGACAGCCCAGTCCTCAATGATCACAGGGACCGAGTCAGCAGTCCATGCGCAAGGGATTCCCTTTCCAGGGTGATCTCTCAAGTACTTCTCTGCTTTTTCAGCAAGGAGCCAAGTTCCAGCACCATGGCAAACCAGGGGGCTATCACTCACCCGCAGCAGCACAGCGTCTTTCGCATGGATGAAGAGCACAGGGCCGGGACACAAAAGGAAAGAAGACGAAGAGTCCAAACCAGCGAACTCAGTGATGTCAGCGCCGTATTTGGCTTTGACGGCCTCCAGCGTCTTGGGATCTTCCTGGAAATAGTTGGACCAGAAGCCAGCACCATCCACTGGCCCAGGCCCACTACCAGCCGAAGGCTGAGGTGCAGGACTTGGGTTCGGAATGGCCACGCCCCAGTCAGCATCGAACTTTTTGAGCAGTTCTCTCCATTCCGGCCCCCAGATGGGGCAGGACAAGAATGCCTGTCTCACATCACGTGGGATGATCAGCTTGTCTTCACTGATCTGCAAGATCTTGAGCTCCGGAACACCAGGTGCAGTTGGCAACTCCTCTGCAGGTGGATCACGCTTGTAGCGTGGTGTGCACTTGTCCATTGGACTGCGGCTGTTCTTCCAAGCCTTTCAGGCGCCAGGGAAAACAATTGGGTAGAAACTGGAAAAAAGGAGCCCTTAGGTGGAACATGCCAAAACCTTTGGCAAATCCAGTCCTCGACCAGGTGGTTCTTCACAATCTCCTTGGAGCAGTTGTAGGCGACACCTTGTCCAGAACTTGCAAGCACTGGAAAACCAAGCTTCATTGACGCCATCTCCAGACAACCATCATACGAGGTGGGATGCACGACAACCGCGCCATGGAAATTCTTTCTGTCACCTGCAAGCATTCCAACAGGAGAGAAAAACAAACACAGTCAAAAACCTAGCTGCAAACCCTTGAAATCCGTTTTGCTCTACCCAACCAAGGATTTGGCAAAAGAAGGCGCCTGTCAGCGCTTCAAGCAATCGCTGAGAGACCTGGCAACCCCCGAGCCACTGAGAGGTTTCCTGCAAATCGCTAAGTGACCTTCGTGATTCGTGGCATAGGAACGCCTCTCCAGGCACCACAAACTGCTTCTCATCCAAAGCTTTGGGGAAAGATCCAAGCGGCAGACTCTGGCGCAGCCACAATTGCGAGCTGCAAAACCTTGAGTGCAGAGCAGTCGAATCAATGCAACAAATCAATGGTTTTAGGGGAAAAAGAAGAAAATCAAATCTTTGCTTGCAATTCAAGAAACACATTGGTTTGGTCATCTGGCTGAGGCGCTCCACGCACCACTCTGTGCGCGGTTCCTTTCAACGGAAGCGTTGAGTCGGGCACCCCCAAGTAGCACACAAAGGCACCTGGAAGCTCCCTGTTGCCATGGATCTCAGAGAGATCGAGATTCAAGGAAAACGGTCTCAGTTCGATCTTGCACGCCAGCAATTTGTTTTCCAGTTTCCTGGTGGCCAACATGTTTGAAAAGGTTTGTGGCGAATTGTCCTTTTCCTGACATATCGCCCCTTACTTGGAAACTAATAACCGATGTATGTATGCATGCATGTGGGCATGCAAAGAAGGTATGAATGTACAAACACAATGTGATGTGCAGCAATGGAATGGGAATGGGAATGGGAATGGGAATGGAATGGGAATGGAATGCGAATGGAATGCGAATGGAATGGAATCGAACTATGAATGAAACATATGTATGCATGTCTGTATGCATGCAATGAATGTTATGCATGGATGCATGCATGCATTCATGCAATGTATGTACTTACTTTTGTATGCATGCATGCGTTCATGCAATGTGTACTTGTGTATGTATGTATGTATGTATGTATGTATGTATGTATGTATGTATGTATGTATGTATGTATGTATGTATGTATGTATGTATGTATGTATGTATGTAATGTATGTAATGTATGTATGTATGTATGTATGTATGTATGTATGTATGTTTGTATGTATGTATGTATGTATGTATGTATGCCTGTCTGTCTGTCTGTATGTATGTATGTATGTACGTATGTATGTATGTATGTATGTATATATGTATGCATGCCTGTCTGTTTGTATGTATGTGTGTGTGTGTTTGTGTGTATGTCTGCCTGTCTGCCTGTCTGCCTGTCTGCCTGTCTGCCTGTCTGCCTGTCTGCCTGTCTGCCTGTCTGTCTGTCTGTCTGAATGTATGTATGTATGTATGTATGTATGAATGTATGTATGTATGTATGTATGTATGTATGTATGTAATGTATTAATGTATGTAATGTATATAATGTATGCAATGAATGTAATGCATGTGATGCATGTAATGTATATAATGTATGTAATGCATGTAATGTATGTGATGTATGTAATGTATGTAATGTATGTAGTGTATGTAATGTATGTAATGTGTGTAATGTATGTAATGTGCGTCATGTATGTAGGTAGGCAGTTGGGTAGGCAGGCAGGCAGGTAGGTATGTGTGGGTGTGTAGCCTCAACTTACCTATAATCTAAACTAATGTAAGGTAATGAAAAGGAAGCTAACCTAATGTAAGGTAATGTAAGGTCATGTAGGCTAGCAAGGCAGGTGCATGGGTATTTAGTAGTTGGAGGCGGGAGTGCAAGGAATAGGAGAAGGTTGAACTGGAGCAGGTCTATCAGAGGACGCACCCGAAAGTGCAAACATTCAGTCAGAGGATGCACCTGACTGTGCAAACGCTCTGGATAAAATACCCTGGCTTAGGTTGGGCCCAAGGGGTTGGAAGCACCATTCTGCAAGTACAGAGTGGCGTGCCCAAGCTGCACTTCTTACAAAATGACAGAACCCAACGTTCACAGACATAGCTTTTATTGCAAAATGGCAGGCTAAGCTGACCCCTAGTTACAGACTGGCCACAGTTCCAACACTGCCCAATCTAGGGTCAACATGGCCCAACATGAGCCCAAGCTTGCCCCAACTAGGACCCCGAAACTGGCAGTATTTCAGGCCCGCCCCAACAAATCTGGTTAGATTAGAGGGCCCCCAAGGCGAAAGATCAAAAGCTTGCACAAAATGGCAAACCAAAACTATCCTGTACCGGCCTGGAGGTTTCAGATTCTGTAACAGAAACTTTAACTTGGATTTTGTATGTATGTATGTATGTATGTATGCATGTATGTATCTATCTATGTATGCATGCATGCATGGATGAATGTATGTATGCATGCATGCATGTATAGGTGCCTGCACACATGAACGGCTTTTTATCTTGAACGGTGGCCATCTTGAAAAATTGTCCCCGATTTGACTCCGATGTTAAAACAGAATTTTCGCTATCACTGTGTTTTCGTGACCACCCTGCCTCATGTCTCCACGGAGACTGCCTCCACTTTCTGCACCAACCAGCAGTGGCGGGATGAGCACCAAAACACCACCTGGGTTTTGGTCAAAGGCACGCAGGCCAGGTCACAAAAAAAGTAATGGAGCACTGGCTTGGGGCCCTGTTCGAAAATAAGAATTGGACGCTGTGGGTTTTTGAAGAGCAATTTCTCAGCATAGTCCCCGAGCATGTTGATCTCAGCTTGCTGGAGCACACCCAACTTGGTGCAATCGAAGTAGAGGATGCAATCAACATCCTGTGGAGTCACCTTCAGGGAAACGTATGTTGCAACCAAAAAAGCAGTGGAACACATTGAACTCTTCGAAAATCTTGGTTGTTCGGAACCTCCACACCTTGTGGTTTGCAGCGGTCTGTCGGATCATAGCGTCCAAGCCGGTGTCAAAGCCATCCTTCTTGGTCACCAAGGAAAGTCGGCAACATTTCTCCATGAAGGCTTCGCAGAGCCTGGTCGACACCAAAAGTTTCCCCTTTACAGGGCAAAGCCAGTAATCGCATATACCTATACCTAAAGAAATGTCCCTAGAAGGTCCTTTTTTGATACTTGCGGTCGGGAAACTGCTTCCCAACTGTCACCTGCGCCTTCTGGTGCATGACCGACACCACATGATTTCTGCGGTTTGATTCATCCTTCGCTGTGTTGTACGCAGTCATGGCCGCAATGTCTTGCGACACCTTTGCCCTTACTTCTCTGAAGCGGGCCGCTTGTGCTTGATCTTCGATTTCCATGATCTCGACGGCCGACGCCACAGCCACTGGCTGCAATGGCTGCTCCACCAAATCAGTCCACAGTGACAAATGCTGTGGCTTCCATGTCGAGAGCTTGGCGGTCACAGCTGCCTCGATGTCGGAAGCGTAATCCCTCAGATGGCAGACATTCCAAAAGAGAAAACAAAGGATTGGCGTGGTTCATTGCCTGGCCCACAACAAAGAAACCAGAAAAATACTTGTCATAAATTAGCTTTGAAGATCCTTTGGAAAAATGCCTTTGCCATCGCAGCATCTTTCTCTTCATTCCAGCTTGACAGCAGCTTGGCCTCCTGCCAGACATAGGAAAAGACGCAAGCGAAATCGCACAGGTGCTCAAATTGGTCCAAAGACATCCTGACCCTGGATCGAGCTGAAGGACGAAGACGCCGTCCTGCGTCCACGAACACTTTGACCACCAACTGGAGGTGTAGCACTTGGCTGTGTGGCGTCACTGTCAAACACTTGCGGAGCTCTGCCGGACATGTCGAAGCCTTCGGGCTAGCTGTCAGCATCCATCGTGATCCTTTGAACTGCTCTGTGGAGAAGGCACTGTTATGCCATTTGTTCCCATCCAAGTGCTCCCTGATCACGTTGCGGGATGCCTGATAGCCAGCAACAAGTGTTTGGAAAACCGGAAGTTGCAACAGGTGAAAGAAGGGCGGTTAAAACGTGTTTCAAAAAGACATACTACATGCTTGGAAACAAAATGACAGGAACCTACCAGACAAATCAAACTGTTGATTGGCAACGACCATCTGCCTCACATGTGCCCGACAGCAAGTTCAGAACAGCCTTGAATCGGTCCTCTTCTATGCGGTGCTTGCTTTGCAAGCCTGGGCTCAGGTTGAACTCGGTCACAACATCGGTCAATCGTTGCTCGACCGTCATGTCAGGTCGATGGCGACCTTCCTTTTCATACTGCTCGAGCACACAAGAAAACCGCAACGCCAGTTGCAAGCTGCTTGGTGCTTGGCGCTCACTCCCTCGGAATGACAAGGTGATATTCCGAAACGAACGATGAGCCGAACCCATGTTGAATGTCACCTTGGCAGTGGCACTTCAATATACTTCGATGAAATGAACTTTATTTCTTTGGGGAAAGTATGGAAATGATTTCAAGCTAGGTGCGTGAACTGGAAGCATCCAGCACCGGTCCAAGATGGGCTGCAAGGGCTTCAGCTTTTCCAGCGCCGATGGATCACTAAGGTCCAGCTCTGAGGCGGCGATCAGAAACGTCATGACAATGGAGCTGCGTGTCCACCCCTTGATCTGATCGATGGATTGCACAGTCAATGCTTTGGACCCATCTGCAGGGGATCAATCGCAATACAGACATTGAAACATGGATTTCTTCCAAGGACAGAAAGAACTTGGGTGCAACAAAAAGTTTGGAATCAATATACAGGCCTGTGACGAGCTCCAACGAGCCATCCAATGGCTCTCTTCCAAGCTCCACTCCTCCGAACATAAAGCTCTCGAAAGTGCCGATCCAATCTTCGCATACTGGAAATCCATCCTCTGGAGGACAGAACCTGGCCCACGATGGAGAACAAAGGGGAAACAAACAAGGGTGAGAATTACAAACCACATATAGGTAGGGAACAGATTTTTAGGTGAGGGCAAAGTGTCAAAAGGCTTATTCAATCAGCAGGCGAGATACTTGAGACAAGTCACTGGAACCTTGATCGTCTCGTCGTTCATGGAAGGGTCAACAACCTCAGGGCCGCATGGGCTGTACCACCACATGGTTGTGTGGTTCATGAAAACCACCCCCCCCGCCAAAAAAAAAACATCATTAGCCCAGTCTAGGGGCGATGGACTCAGGCTTCTTGAAGAGGTATGGTGCTTTGCGCACAGCAGTGGCATATTCACTATACCAGGCTTCCAGCTGTTGGCAGTGAAGCGTGTTGTGCTCGTCATTGCTGCTGGCAAAGAGTTCAGCCACCAAGGCTGCAGGGTGAGAGCCAGGAATTGCATTTTCACCGCGGAAAGAACCCACATACTCCAGCAGGTCCTGGCTTCAAGTTGAAAAGATGCGGTGATGGAAATGTTATATTGTGTTATCCCCAATGTTCGGTGACACATGTACAAAAATGTTGTAGTGCCTTATCTACCCATTTTTGGTGGTACATATCCTTCCCAAGCAATAAGTTGACATATAACCACCATCGTTCCAGGTTTAACATCCCAACTTGTAAAAGCTTTGTCCATGGCTAAGCTTGGCAATAGGGTTCCCATCTTTTACATTAATCCAAATTGCATCTTTCCAACAAGTATCACCAAACAAATGATGTGGACACAGAATGTCATCATGGGGATGAGAGCGATTGTTCGAAACTGGCTGTTCAAAAATGAGCATCCTGATTTCTTCAAAGAGACACCATTTCTTATATATATATATATATGTGTGTATACATGTACATGTATATATATATATACATTGATAGAGGAAACGCTGGGTGTTCCTTGGCAGTGGTCAGATCACCAGTGGGCATTTTGGCAATCTGCTTCTCGTACGCGTTGCACATGCGCTTGGCAGGACGATCAGGGGACTCTTCATCCTTCTTGCACAACTTCGCTCTTTCCTCAGCCTTTGCTTTGAAAGGTGTCACTGCCATGACGAATTGACTGGGAATCCTGAGGGCCACAAAATCCTGCAAGATCATCGCTTGACATCCACAGAGTGCACTGAAACCGTTTTCAGATCCTCAACATGGTTTCAGTGGTGTGGTTGTGGGCCAGTGCACTGATCCCTTTCTTTCAAAAAGGCGAGGTTCAATTTTTTTTTTGGGAAGTTAAAAAAAATCGAACCTCGACATTTTTTTTAAATATGTTCAATGGTCTGGTTCCCCACCAGTTCACTGATCCTGTTCTTAGACATGGGAATAAATTTCAATGGACTCAAAGGAGCTCAGTTTCAGCGAACTCTCCGGCAACTACACCACCGATCTCTTGTGTTGGGATACCCTTGGTGCACCAACATGTGTTGACCAAAACCCTCCAGTGCACCAAAAAGTGTTGACCGATTTCAATGGACTCAAAGGAGCTCAGTTTCAGCGAACTCTCCGGCAACTACACCACCGATCTCTTGTGTTGGGATACCCTTGGTGCACCGACATGTGTTGACCGAAACCCTCCAGTGCACCGAAAAGTGTTGACCGACCCGCTCCGGTGCACCGAAAAGTGTTGACCGACCTGCTCCGGTGCACCGGAAAGTGTTGACCGACCCGCTCTGGTGCACCGAAAAGTGTTGACACTCGTTGAACCCAGCAAGCTTGAATTCAATTTGTTTTATCCCGCTTCCTGAATTTGATTTTGGGAGTCTTTGAATTGGATATTTCTTCCAGATATGCCTTTGGCAACTGAAACTGTGACTATTGGTTCCTGTTCCCACCAAAAATTGCCCTTAAAGGGACAGCTGGCGCTATCGCATTCAATACAGCTTCATGGAGAACATACTGGGGCCCCCCCAGCCCTTGAGGTTGGAGTGGTTGAGTGTGAAACGGAAGGTCTGGAAGCTCAGCATTTTGCCAAAAAGAATTGGCTGCCAAACTCTCCAAATAGCAAATGCTTCGGTCATATTGATGCCCATAAAAGAATTTCACGGAAGCAGCCAGCTTTTGGATATCAGAAGCCCACTTCGCAGTGTGGTTGTTTGGCCACCTTAGCTTTTTCACCCCAAGGCTAGGGTACCCAAACATTTTCTGATGTCCCTTCTTTAAACTTCGCTTATCTCAAAGTATTCCCTGCGCTAGATTCCCCACCACTCTTAGCAAACCAATACTTGGGAAGCAAACCAATTTGGAAACTCTTGTAGCAAAGTATCTTTTCAGCTGGGACTGGCGCCAGCCCCAGGGCTCGGTGGTGGGAGAGAACCAGCAGAGGGGGTTGTGACAAAGTTGGGTCACAGATGTGCTTCTTGATCAAGGACACCACATCATGAGGATTCGCTATCCCACGAAAGCTTCCAGAATTCACCATGTTGGCCAGAGCTTCAGGAAGGTCTCAGGGGCCAGGGACCCCAGCTAGATAGGACCAGGAACCAAACATATGCTAAACTTTGAAACAGGATTTGGCTAATCTCGTGCCTCTTCTTTGCATGCACAAGAAAAGATGATTACCAGTCTCATCCTTCAGTAAGCCACCTTCTAGTTTAACGCCTGTTCCTGGTAAAAGTGATCTCCAGCTCCGTGTTGCATCTAGCTTTTGGACTGATACCTGTGTTTGACGTCCAATCCAGTCTTTCATAGTTGGCTTTGACAACTCAGAAGAAATAGCCGTCATGACATCGCCAGGATCGAGAAGACCACTTTCATGAGCTATTCGTCTACTCAATATTCCCCACAGCTGATCTAAGTGGTTTGCCGAGAAAAGGATCCCATTATTTTTTGGCTCTACTAGCGTGCCTACATGTGGAAACAGAAAAAATACCAAGACTTGTCAAAGTCACCCACACGACAATGTGTGTGGCTTTTTCGGAGATGACAAAGGCATGTTGTTCTGAAGCGGTGATGAGCGTTAAGTAAATGGAGGTATGTCAAGACATGCTGGTTTTTGCATTCGCGAACGGTATTGTCTGCCTGATCATGGCATAGTCTTACCAACAAAAAAGGCCCCACAAAGAAAACAAATAGTCATGGTACGATTTCCACCGTGCTTGAACTTCCCAACATTTGCTTGTCCAAGTCAAGGGGCGTTGAGAATCAACGCAGACGGTCTCCGACGGTTCTCCCGATCACAGATCGACATTACCTGATTTGCTGCTCATCAAAGATGGACCATCTGATGCATGGATGGTGTAGAAGGCATTGGGCAACAAAGAATGCATAAAAAGTTGCATAAATCAATTTCTCAGATACTTCTTCAATTGTCCTGGCAACCATTTCAATTATCGCACTGCTGTCATGTCGACTTGGCTCATCCATCACCCATATTTTGAGAACATATCCGTAGGCCCAGCATCCATGGATCTTCAATCGTGGCCGCTGGTGTTTGGCCCTGAGATCGACGGCAGGAAGCAGAGGACATGATAGGCACTAGTGCTTAACAGGGAGAAATCTACATAGCAGGGGTGACATACAATAAACTTTCTGGTAAAGCTGAAGGTCAACCCGGCATTGGAGCGAAGTTGAGGGTCTCTTGGCAATGAGAACTTGGCTTGGTCAAGCCCATCAGTACAAATAAGTAGAATCGATGATCTAGGATCACTTCCCTCGCTTTGCAGAGTCCATATCACAGTTCTGTCGCAATACTGGTCATGAAGGTGCGACCTATATCCTTGAAGGCATCCTAATTTTTGCTCAAAAGTCAGCGACCGGTCTTGCAGCTGAGCCTTGAAGGCACAACACACTTCACAAGATGTGAAGAGCGAGCGGGCTCGGAACCTCAATATGTCAGACCATCTCTCCTTGTACACCTTGTTGAAAGTGGTGTACCTGAGAAATGCCGAGTCTTCAATGTTCAGGGGAGGCAAGTCAGATTATATGACTTGAAAGCGTGTATATATATATACACACTTACATGTGTAAATACTTGTGTATCTACATATATATATATATATACATAGGTATTTATTTATGTATGATGTTTGCCATTCGTTCCCACCTGCAGTAGAAAGGTTTACAATCCTTAAAATCTCACAGCTTACTCTGGGTTCCAGAAGCTTTCTAATCTGTGTGGATGGGACATGGTTTGTCCACATCGAAAGGTAAAAGACCAGATGCGATACATGATGCCCTCCAAGCATTTGTTGAGTCGCCTTGTATTCTTCGTACAGTTCCATCACATTCCCTGGCGGTAGAAATTTCTGGACAAGAACCTGATTCGGCATAAAAGGGCTTTTGGCAGAGGTGGTGGAAAGCCATTCGCGAACCTCCTCAGCATTCTCAATGTCAGAGGCTATTTGATCACCACCCTCATCAGAATCACTATCTAGGTCACCACTCTTCTTCGATGCCCTGCCTCTTCTTATGAACCTGTACCACTTGGAGATGGAATTTGCAAACTTTTAAGCTGGATCAGTTTTCAGGGTTTGTTTTCAACCAAAAGTCCGAGAATAAATGAGACAAAACCAAGAAGCTGGTCCGGCAGGGTCTCTGCTACAGCATCGTATGCGATGCGTAGAAAACCATCAACACTCCACGTGGATGCCTTACTCATGTATGGACGCTGTCCATGTCTCAGGTCTGGTGCACCTGACATCCCGCGGCGGAGTCTACCAGTCCCAACTCCCAAAAGCGCTGCTAAACATTTGAAGCCAACAGGTTTATCAAGGAGAGTGAACTGCTTGTCCCGGTTGTCATTGGTGGTGGCCAAGCATAGTTGAACCTTAGGCTTGAATCATTCCTTTGGCAAGGACCAATCTTGCAGCAAATCCCTTGATCTAAGATTTTCTGGCTTAGAGTTTGAAAGGATGGAGGCAGCCAACATGGAATGACACCAGTAAAAAAACAAATAAGGCCTTGGAACAAAGGAATCTTGATCTGACTTTTGTAGCTCCCAAAACGATTTCAGAAAGGACGGAAGCTCCTTCGAGTTCTGGAACTGCTTGAAACAAAGTCCATTGGCGCCTAGGCTGATGTGCTCCGATGGGTCTAGGACCAATCGGCCAAGCCCGTGAGGGAGGTGTGCAAAGCCATTTGCATATATACATGCATACATGTTTACAATTTTGCCTTTTTACATACATGCATGCAAACATGTTTACATAGGTAGATGGATGGATTGATGGATAGATGGATGGATAGATAGTTAAATAGATAGGCAGAAAATACATGCATACACATGCAAATATACATATCTGTTAATAATCATATAATATGCAAGTGCTCATTAAACTATTTACAAACACATGACCTGACATACCATCACAAGACAAGACAAGTCATCCAAACATCCATCCTCCCATCCCTCCTTCCATCAACCATCCATCCTTACATCCCTCCATCCTTCCTTCCACCCATCCATATATGCATCAAGATCCATACAGACATACACACCGACATGCATACAGGCAGATAGTTAGATAGCTCAATCGAACAATCCCTAGATGGACACCAATGGAGATACATAGGCTCAGAAAGAAAGACAAAAAGATAGAAAGATAGATCGAAAGATAGATGGATGGATAGATCGATAGATATATAGATAGATAAGAGACACCCAGAGAGGGCTGAGAGGGGAAAGCACAGGGAGAAGGAGAAGGTCGAACTGGAGCAGGTCAATCAGAGGATGCACCCGAAAGTGCAAACACCTGAAAGTGCAAACATTCAGTCAGAGGACGCACCTGACTGTGCAAACGCTCTGGATAAAAAATTTGCTGGCTTAGGTTGGGCCCAAGGGGTTGGGAGCACCATTCTGTAAGTACAGAGTGGCGTGCCCAAGCTGCACTTCTTACAAAATGACAGAACCCAATGTTCACAGACATAAGCTTTTATTACAAAATGGCAGGCTAAGCTGACCCCTAGTTACAGACTGGCCAAAGTTTGCGACCCCCCGGCTATGACTCAGGATAGACCCAACATGGCCCAATCTAGGGTCAACTAAAAACCATGCTGTACTGGCTTTGAGGCCTCAGATTCTGTAACAAGAATTTCACAAGTGTGGTATGGAAGTGGAA